TAGGGAGACACTTTGGGACAACAGATCCCCTCACATTCATTCAGCCACTGGTAAAGTCCCACCTCTCCTATGCAAGATCTATCCAAGGGGGCAACCCCACCAGCATGTCAGGTTATATAAAGCAAGGGGTGCCTGTTTCTTGCCCACTCTGGGATGGATATAGTGTGGGAGCTCCATGAGGCTCAATGAGTTCTACTGAGAGTCTATGGTCCTTTATCACCCCCTTTCTCCTGTCACAAGGAAATGCGTCTCACTGAGCCCATACCTGACTTCTGTTCCTGCCTAAATAACTCAGATGAATACTTTTTTTTTGCATAGAAGAAATGATTACCCCCATATATATTTGACAGTCCATGCGTTTCTCAGTTTCATGCTACCCACATGGACCTGGCATGTTCTTGGTCTTTACTAGACTCTTACCCCAAGCCTGTTGTGGGTATGAGGAGGGTTCTAGGTAGGGAGAGGGTCCCTCAGGGAAAGGATGCTGATGGGAAGGGCAGCCTATAGCTGTCTGGAGATGGTGCTGAGCAAGTTGCATTGGAACAGGCTGCTGGGGTTTAACAGTGCAGTTCCTTAGAGCAAGCAGCACTGCATGGGATGGACAGGTGCCTTGTCTGCACTCTTTCAGACCCTCGTGTGCAGCCTGCTCCGTGCTTGGGGGAGACAGACGCTGAGGCCTGATGGTACAGTCTGCAGGTGGCATTCCTGTCCCCAGCTTCCTCTCTGCACTGAAGAAAGGTTTGGGAAGATTTAATGTTGAAGCAAGAACTTTCAAGAGAAGCAAATTCCTCTTTAATAACCCCTGTCAGACCTTTCTGAAGGCTGTTTTCTTTAAGATGAACAGTATCCTGGGAAATTTACTTATTTGCTTTCCCTTTTATGAACATTTATTTTATTTTTATGTATGTGTGTATATTCAGATGTGTGTGGGTGTCCCTTGTGGTCAGAAGAGGATGCTGGATCCCCTGCAGTTGGAGTGACAGGCAGTGGTGAGCCACACACTGTGAGTGTTGAACTGAACCGGGGTCCTCTGTGAGAGCCGCAAGTGCTCTTAACCTCCAAGTCATCTCTCCAGCCCCTACTTGGTATTTTCAAAGACTTAACCAGCTGCCAACAGGCCACAGGGGGCTTTGCTTCACAGTGTTTGCTTTTTCTCTTTCCCGTTTGAAAACCTTTAGCTCAGCCCCTTATTCCCAGCTACTTGGGATTCTTTTTCTTTTTTTATTTTATTTTATTTTATTTATTTATTAAAGATTTCTGTCTCTTCCCCACCACTGTCCCCCATTTCCCCCCCTCCCCCAATCAAGTCCCCATCCCTGGTCAGCCCAAAGAGCAATCAGGGTTCCCTGCCCTGTGGGAAGTCCAAGGACCACCCACCTCCATCCAGGTCTAGTAAGGTGAGCATCCAAACTGCCTAGGCTCCCACAAAGCCAGTACATGCAGTAGGATCAAAAACCCATTGCCATTTCACTTAAAGAAAACGAAGAAAGCTACTTGGGATTCTGAGGGAGGAGGATTCAAGCTGAAGGCTGGAGTAGGTACAGAATGGGTCCAAGGCCAATCTGGGCAACCTGAGACCCTGCCTCAAAATAAAAACGATGGGGTTGTAGCTCAGTGGTAGGGAGGGTGCAGAGTACACATGAGGTCATAGGTTCAATCCCATTATTAAAAAAAAAAATAAAGTTTCTCATCTTTGAGTGTATCTACAGTTCTGTTCCTACTTACTGTCAATAAAGATTATTTTTTGGGGGGGCTAGTTATAAATTTACTTAATCTTGTTTTACTTAAAAACACTTTCGGATATGCTTATCCCCTTTCTTCATAAATAAATGAATCCCCAAAACATTATGCTACTTAAAAATGCCCATGCCACACTTGATCTTAGCCAAAAGGCTGGGTGGTAGTGGTGTATGCCTATAATCCCAGCACTTGGTAGGCAGAGACAGGTGAATCTCTGTGAGTTCAAGGCCAACCTGGTCTACAGAGTGAGTTCTAGGATAGGCTCCAAAGCTACAGAGAAATCCTGTCTCAAAAACAGGAATAACAACAAAATGCCCATGCCAAAACCTACTTTTTAAGGGTCTCTGAGCCATTTCATCTATAGCCTTTTCATTAGCACAGAGTCTTATATAATTTTCTAAGCAAGGGCTGGTCTGGAACTCGGAATCCTCCTGCTTCAGTGGAGTACTGGGATTATAGGTGTGCACACCCACATCCCACTGACAACTGTTCCTAGTTCTCGATGCTGCGTCCACAGCTGAAGTCAAGTCCTGTATTCCAGGCAAGCCCAATACTGGCAAACACCCAAGCCTAGGGTCACACAGAAGCTGCATGCATGCTGGCCCTGTAGATATGTCACTGTCAGCAACCGTGGCATGAAGCCAATCTGAATTCTCCTGGGCTAACTTGCAGACAAAAGGATTTGGGGTGTGACACAAGGAGCAATTCCTACTTGTCTTAAAAGCACCATAAAAATACAATCGCCACAATAATGACATCTCATTTCAAGGAGTATGTACGTGTTGACAATGGTCTGTAATAATATCTTACATCCTTACAATGGTTTTGCTTTTCAAAGTATTTGAATGTCTTATCTTTCTGAAATAGGCAGGGTAGGAATTGGGCACTTATGTTTCATAATGGATGTTGGCATGAATTCTAGGACACAGATCTGCAATTTTTTCCCCTGAAGGGCCACATAGTAAATATTTAAGGTTTTTTTTTTTTTTGAGCAGGAAAGCAAAACAGTTTAAAATGTAGACTTGAAAATGGAGTCAAGGTCAGGCTTCAGGTGGAGGATTACTTGAGATTATGGTACACATTCAAAGTTGAGAACAAACCATGCGTGGTAGTGCACACCCATAATATCAGGACTATGGAGTCTGAGGCAGGGAGATTGAGACTTTGATCAGCTGATCTTCCTAATGAGACTCGTGTGGCTCAGAGGTCAAGCGCTTGTCAACTGTGTACAAGGCCTGGAGTTAGTCTGCAGCATCCAAAATACAATATTACAAGCAATTATTCTCCACCTTCTCTCCACATTAGCAAATGTGGCAGACAACACGTGGGCTGATGTCTGTTGTGTCTGGCTAGTATCTCTCACCTTACAGTGAGAGTCAGATTTTCCCATGATGCATCATGCCTGCCTATTCTGCGTCTGACTGTATACTCGCCTAGGGTGATGCGGCTTTAGGCCTGGCAAGCAGAGTGTAGCATCCACTTTGACTTTGATGAATGGCTGAAAAGGAGCACATAGCCATGCCAGGCCAATGCTTCTAAAGATTTATTCATTTTTTATTTTCTTAAATTGTATGTAATGTGTTCTGTGTGCATATATGTGCACATTTAAGTATAGTACCTTCAGAGTCCATAAGAGGGCGTCAGATGCTTTGATCTGGAGTTACAAGCAGTGAGAGCTAGGAACTGAACTTGGGGGCTTTGAAAGAGCTGAATAAGCCTTCTTAACTACGGAGTCATCTCTCTAGACCAATGGTTCTAAACCAGAGCTTCTCCAGGGGGCTTGTTGAGTGATTGGCTGTGAAGGTCTCACTCTTCCTTCTGGGATAACACCATTATGGTCCTTTCAGGGGTTACCTGATGATATGGGCCAGGAGCACCCAGGGTGTGGTCTGCAGACAGCACTAATGACCCTTCCTAGGAAGTCTTAAAAGACTCCAGGTAGATCTAAAGCAATGTACACTCGCAGGTGTTTGAGAAACACTTTAAGTTCAAATTGAGTTTGTTGAGTTTGTCTCCTATGTATACTGAAGAATCCTGATCAATTCATTTCCATAATCTTTTTTAAATTTATTTATTGTGTATATAGTGTTCTAGGCACCAGATCTCATTATAGATGGGTGTGATACATCATGTGGTTGCTGGGAATTGAACTCAGGACCTCCAGAACAGCAGTCAGTTCTTTTAACCTCTGAGCCATCTCTCCAGCCCCTCTTATTAAGTGAATAGGATACTTGCTGATAAGAGCTCATCAATGAGAGTGACAGGAGCCCAGCATGTAATTTGCAATACAACCCTGTCACAGGTAGGATGAAGACGCGCTAGGTTCTGTGATTCCAATGTATTCTGCTGACATTTTGACTATTGAGAGCCCAGTCTGTGGTCCAAGGGAAGTGGGATGAAGCAGTTGCCTCCTTCAGGAAGGGGGCAGGGAGGAGTTGGGAATACCTCTCAGGGGCTGCATGACACAGGGTCCCCTTCTGTCTTAGTTTCCTTTCTACTGCTATAATAAAAAAACACAACCTGAGGCAGAAAGGACTTACATGGCTGATACTTCCAGGTAACAAACCATCATGGGAGGGAGTCAAGGCAGGGACTCAAGCAGCTTGTCGTGAGTCACATTCATAGTCCAGAGCAGAGAGGAGAACGTTCATCCATGCTGCCTGCTTGCCCATGTACAGCCCACTTTTTCCAGGACTCTGACACAGTCCATGAAACTGTGCTACCCACATCCAGGACGGGTCTTTCTGCCTCAACTGAACATCAAGACAATCTCCCACAGACAAGTCCATGGGCCAACATGGCTTAGACAATTCTTCATTAAGACCTAATTCTCGGGTGATTGTTGGTTGTGTCAAGTTGGCAGTTAAAACTAGCCAGCACACGTGCCATTCACATAATGCCATATAATCAAGATAGCTAGTGGACTCAGGTCTCTGAGATTTGCAGTCACTTATTGCCACAGCCTTGCCCAGCCCAGCTCACCCTGACCAGGACACAAGGTAGCCTAAATTTTGTATATAGATAGGAGCATGAAAAATAGAGCTGAAGTGGTTTAAATTAGAAGTAAACAACAAGGACTTTGGTACGTGGACGTGGCTCATCTGAGAAGCTTAGCTAATAAAAGGTAATTTGCCACTTCCAAGGTAGAGGAAGATGGAGTCGCTTATACATAAAGTCACTGCAGTGATGAGCTGGAAAAGAGGAAGTATGCAGGGGCACTATTAGTAGGATGCAAGGGCCGTCATGACATCATGACTTACCATAGCGAGGGGGACAATGGCGACCAGGTCCTTCTGGCTGATGAAGATCTCAGACACAGCGATGTCTGTGGTCCCCTTCCTGGGGTACTCCACCTGCCATGTGATGGGCTGTGTCCCGGAGAGGCTGCTGAAACTGGCGATTTCAAAATTCATCTGCATGACCTCGTTGAATAGATTGCCGCTTCTGGAAGGGAATGAAAGGAAACGGCCTTAATATGATGATGCTATTTGAAGGCTCCTGCTCTCCCTTTACCTCCAACCCCACAATTGTGCTCAGAATCAGAGGATGAAAAGACCACCTCTCCAAGACAGCTCCAGGCACTTGAAGCATGACGTCACTTTCAAGTTAGAGAGTGGGGGGCTAGGATAGGGCAGCACCCACAAGCCATGGACCTAAACTGAAATTCTTATATACTGAGCACTGATCAGTGTGTGGAGGGGTGGGGTCTTCGAGTTGTTTTTGAGACAAGGGCTCACTTCATAGCCATGGCTATCCCGGAGCTCATTCTGTAGACCAGGCTGGCCTTAAAACTTGTAGAAATCTCCTGTCTTGATTTCCTGAGTTCTAGGATAGTATGGCAAGGTAACACTTGTTGTTTTTGTTTTTATTTAGTGGGATTAAACTCCAAAGACATGCTCTGGTGGGGAATCGCAATAATGCATACTTTTAAAACTGACCCACGGATTTGGGATGTAGCTCTAGTGGTAGAGTGCTTGCTGGCATGCACAAACCCCTGGTTCGATCCCCAGCACTGGATCTACTAGGCGTGTTGGTGCACACCTGTAATCCCAGGTCTTAGGAAGTTGAAGCAGGTAAATGGGAGTTCAAGGTCATCCTGGTTACACTCTGATTTCAAGGCTAACCTCAGATACATGAAATCTTGTCTTTTTTTTTTAAAAGGTGATATAATCCCTTCCCCCAATTAACAAACTCCAGCGGTGATATGGACTCTGCCATGCATGAGCCTTATTCATCCAGCTCTGTAGTTCATACCCTCACTCAGAATCTGACTCCCTCAGATGTCCCCTTCTCTGCTTGTTGCTGGAAGACAGAGACAAAGAAAAGGAGTCAGTTCATCCTGTGGTCAGCGCTTTTCTGCTTTCTCTGAGATCTGCCTTGAGGAGGCCAAGAGCCCCTGCCTAATTGGGTGTGTGGTGATACTGGAGAGAGGGGGGGGGGGGAGGGAGAGAGAGAGAGAGAGAGAAAGAGAGAGAGAAAGAGAAAGAGAATTAAACAAGTAGGCAATCCCAGAGAGTGCCAGGAACCACTGCTTGATAAAAATCAATGGTGTGGATTTACAGATGTAACTCTTGAAAGAAAATTTCAAAATTGGCTCAAAATAAAGTAGTTACTCCAAAGTAAATAAACCCCCTCCAGTAGTCACAGCAAATTTCAGACCATTGGAAACCCAATTTTCCAAGCCTCTTGTCCATTGGACTCGTCTGTAAGAAAACGGAGCCGACAATGAGCTAAACGCCAAAGGGACTTTAGCTTCCCAGCCTGGGGGTGCGGGGAGAGATTTGAGTACCTATATCATAGTCATCATGGGCAGCTCAGTGCCCGTGGAAGCAAAGAGACTCCAAAATGAAAAAAAATGAAATTCTGAATGGGGAAGCCTCTCCCAGGAGAACAGCATAGTCTGGTTCGGGCTGTATTTTACCCATTTTGTTTCAAGTGCTGTCTTGAACAGAAACGGAAACATCTCTTTCCCAGGCTGCCCACAGAAAAGGCTTTCCAATGAGCTCTCCATGGTGCTGACGAGTATGGATTTGAGCCTGAGTTGACTTGAGAAGTGGGGACTGAACAGTGAGCAGGATAGGAGGAGAGAAAGAAATGGAGGCATGATGGGCAAAAGCGGGAAGAAGGGGGTGCACAGCTAGAATCCTAGGAAAACCAGCTCTTGAGAAATCTATGCCTCACATTCAAACACACACACTGCTGTCTTGACCGGTTGTGCCAGTGGCTCCCATTCAGGGTACCGAAGGGGATATCTGATCAGCTGAGATTCAACAGGCTAGCACAGAGCAAGGACTTGGCCTCCCCTGCTGTTGCCTACAGTTAATACAAAAGACAGAACCCGAGACATAAGGGTAGCATAAGGGAGAGGCTTAGGAAATCTGTCCTGTGGAAGAAGGCAGCACACTTGGATTTGACTCTAGAAATAAGCAAACAATGGGGTGAAGAGATGGCTCAGTAGTTAAGAGCACTGGCTGCTCTTTCAGAAGGCCTGGGTTCAGTCCCTAGCATCCACATGTCCATTCTCAACCATCTGCTCCAGGGGACCTGATACCTAATCTTTTGGTCTCTGTGGGCACCGGGTACATACATGGTGTGTATAGACATATGCAGGAAAAACACTCATATATATAAAATAAATATTAAAAAAATAGGGCTAGAGGGATGACTTGGTCAGTAAAGTGCTTGCCACACAAGTACGGACACTGGATCCCTGGAACCCATGTAGAACAGCTAGCTAGCTGTAGTGGCATATGCCCAACATTCCAGTGATTGGAAGACAGAGAGAGGCGAGTCCTCATGGGTAACTGAATAGGGAGTCTTACAACTGCCTGTAACTCTGGTTCCAGAGGATCTCTGTCCTGGTCTTCATAGGCACTTACATACATGTGCAAGTACACACAAACACACATATAAACATGTGCACAATTAAAATAAAATAAATCTGTAGAAACTGAAGAGATGATTCAGAGGTTCGGAGCATGCGATATTATTTTTTTTCCCCAGAGGACCTGAATTTCATACTCGAGACTCCTACCAGGCAATTTATAACTAACTATAACTCCAGTTCCAGGGATTCAGATGTCTCTGACCTCCTTAAACACCCATACTAACATATCCATACCACCCTGCCACACACAGAGAGAACTAAAAAAAAATAAATGTTTAAATAAAAGCAACAACAAAATAAAATGGGCAGCATCCTGATGAATGACAGTGGAGACTGTCCTCTGGTTTCCATATGCATACATGTGCGCACCCATCTGCACATATGTCTATAACACACACACACACACACACACACACACACACACACACACACACTGAACCAAGCAGACAAGTGGCCTTTACTTCTATCTAGTACTCCAAAGCCTAAAACCCTGCAGGGGCAGGTAGTTACATGGGGAGGCAAATGAAAGAAAAAGAGAGTCGTCCCCTGCATATTATGTAGATGACAATGACTTTGCATAAGGTATCTGAAACCTAGAAAGGAACCCGAGTTTTTGCAGACTGCAACCCCACCAATAGTTTAACTACCTGAGAAGTTGGGAGAGAAGCAATGGATTCTCAAGTCTACTCTCCACAAAGATAATGACAATGTTAGGTGTGGACACTCAGAATCATGACAGTTACAGACGGTCAAGGTTAGACATTGTAGCTGTGCACAGAAAGCTTTCTCCATGGGCACCAGCCTCCCCACTCCTGTCCTCTCCCCGTCTTGGTGTTTTCGCTGAGACAGGATAGGGAGATGTTCTAACCACAGGTTCTAGAAGCAGACATGTGGCTGCCTGAACTATGGCTTCACTATGGATTGAAGGGACAGTTTAGGTAAGGTACTTAACACATTAGCTCTCAACCTAGGGGACTGGAGTGAGCCAGCCGAGGAGCTTTACACAGATTCTGACATCTGTGCTTGTCCATTAAGAGTTGTTGGTTTTCCTGGGTGGGGCTTGGACACAGAGTCATGAGGATCTCAGATGACTCGAATGTGCCATTCACGCTCAGGGTGAGTCTTCTCTCGTCAGTAAAACCTCTACGAAAATGTCCTCACGGACGCATCCAGAGATGTGTCTCGCATGTGATTCTGAGTCCGCTCAAGTTAACCATTTCCGGGACTGAAGAGAGACACCAAGTGCAATGACAGCAAATTGGTACCTGAAGTTAAGCTCGGCATAGGCATTTCTTGAGCCAACCTTCCGTGCCTGTGGATGTGACCCACAATCCTTTCATCTCCCCAGTTCTGACAACAGGACCCCTCGTTTCTCTGTTTCCTCAACCTCTTTCTCCTTCCTTTTCTTGGAATACCCCACCTTGGTCACAGGTGTGCTTCTAATTCAGGCTGTTGACAATTATCTCCCATGAGGGCAATTACTTCCCACAGTGTCTCTTATCACCCTGCTCCCACAGCCCATCCTCTCATGTCACTGAACCCCTGATGCTCGGGATTCACCCTTCATTTACATGGCCACACAGCCCGTATGCATTTCTCTGCACTGGGCAGTTCACCAGTTCATGCTCCCTAGCCACGGTGGCCTGGTGTTCTTCCATTACCTTCAAATGACACATGGCCATGCTGGCCTATGGGACGTACGCAGTCAATGTTTGCTGAACGAATAATACATGAGCGACGCCCCCAGGAGCCTGGCGTCCTGATAGTCACACTTTCCCTTCCAGTTGTCAGGTTAATATTCATTTCTACTCAGGAGGGGGAGAGTCTCCATTTTGTTAGAACGGAGGACGGGGGCACGCTTCGAAGCTATCAGCTTTTCCAGAAGGGCTGAACCCATTCCAAGAAAAAAAAAAAAGAAGTAAAAATGAGAGTCTGTTGGACCCCTTCCAGAGAAGACATGCTCTGAGGTCCACTCCTAAAACTTTGCATTTTCCAAATATCACAGAGGACAGACGCTGGATCCACTCCAAAGCCTGCTATTGAATTTTACGCCTGCTAAGCTCTGCTAAGTACATAATGAGGACTCTGAATTAACTATGCAAAAGTGTAATTTACAGTTAATGTTTGTAATTGATGAGTTGCGGGTCTCTGTGGCAGCACTAACTGCTGAGACATAAGGGCCCTGAGGGGGACGAAGGCAAGTTTTTTAGTTCTGGAACAGAAGGCTTCCTCTACCCATGCGCTCTCCAGTCATCCATCCATCAAGCCCTTAGGAAGCACATTCCTGCCAGGCACCCATTGGAAACACTCAGAAGCTGAGTGTCAGAAACACTTCGCAGTCACTGTAGCTGGCAGTGGGCGGGAGAGCGCCTCCGAGACCTCCCAGACTCCCGCTGTCCACTCCCCAGTCACTTGGCTAAAGACACAGAGAAGAGCGGTCCAACCAATACATATTAGCAAGCCCTGGGGCTCCTTTCTTGTCCCAGAATTCTCTTTGTTGGCATCCAGTGTAGTGACATTTTCCAAGCAGCAGGAACTCAACTAGGGCTGAGAAGTA